TCCTGTTGTTCGTCTATTGCCTTGAGCAGGCACCAGTAATGTCTCCTTCGTCCTAGCCCTGAGATTCTAAAAAGTGCCACATTCAAGGCTCTTTCAGGTTTAGTAGAATGAGACCCATCATTGTGACTGGTATTTGGCATATTGGGTACGCCACGGGGAGTTTGCCAGACTCTGCCGTGTGGGCAGGTAACATTCGGTAGCCTGCCAGGTTGTCCAAAGTAAGAATGAAGTAATAAGATGTTGCTTCCCGGAGCTGGGTTTTATAGTCTCTGGGTTTCCGCCGTTGATGGGATTACATGGCCCCAGGGGCCAGTTGGTGAGTGTGACCCCTGCCTACTGGAAGATGGAGGATCTGGGTGGAGGATGCTCAGCCCCGATCCGAGCAGGCTTGGAGATCTCAGCCCCGGGACCCGCATGTCTTTGTTCCTCTGCTGGTACCTTCATGCGTGTGGAGAGTGGACTCAGCATGGTTGTGGCTGGTTCTGGAGGTCTTCAGCTGCCGGAGCAGAGTAGTGTCTGAAATAATGGCATAGTAATGACATTAATAGCACTAATAGCACACGACAAACACGTGTCTGTTTTTAAGGTTGATGTTTCCAGAGGTTTCTGGCAAAATCGTACCTGTGTGAGTGACATTATGTGACAACTGCCTAGAGCCTGTGTCTTTCTAATATGTCCCCTCCACATTCAATCCGAGCCCGGCAAGCTACCGAGAGTATTCGATAAGCCAGACACAGTAACAACAAAGTCTCCAATGGAGACGTTACTGGGCCCGCTTGAGCAAATCGACGATCAACGGGAGGGCCTTTACCTTTACCTTTTACTCTTGATGAGGAACCATTATATGGAACCTTCGTGTCATGTCTTGGATTCAAGTTAGTCTTCTGTTTGTTCAATTCCATTTCAGGACCATACCTGGGGATGCTCAGAGCTGTCTTGTGGCTCTGTGCTCAGGGATCACTCCCATTAGAGCTCAGGCACCTGAGTGGCATGCTGGGAATCGAATCCGGGTTGGCCACATGTAAGGAAGGTACCCAGCTCGCTACACTAGAACTCCACCAGCTTGACCTCAACCAGTTTTACAATATGAGAACTCCCTGTATTTTATTTCCATTGTTCTCCCCAGATGCTGGTGTGTGTGTGTGTGGGGGGGAGGATTAGTCCCCAGCAGACTCACCAGTCCCAGGTATTGAGGCCTTTGAGCTCAGGAGTAAGTGGAATGATGTGTTGGCTAACATTGGGTTGTCTTTGCTGGTCCCGCAGGAAGCTTAAGGTTTATTGAGCCACTCCCCCAAAAGTGTAACTGAGGCACAGCCAATTCCATCAGGCACGGATAGTAATTGCTTTTCTCTTTCCTTTGTGTCATTTGTGTGGTTCACTTTTGTTTAGGTACAGGAAGACAGTTTATGCTATGCTAGGTAACATGGGAGTTAATCAACTCCAAAATTATATTTACTCCTGGGCGTCCATATTTACTTGACTTAAATAAGCCTCAGTTGCCCTTAGTTCCTAGCACTCCAAGAGCAGGGCCCTGACGAGGTACTGAATGGACCCAGGACAAGCTGTGAGCTACCCTGGCATTGAAACGGGCCAGGCCAAGTGCCATGATACTTAACTATAAGAGCACAGTCACGGATGGTGTCTCATTACAACCTTGGACCTAATGACATCAGGTCACCTCCAGAGAGGAGGTGGGCATGCTTTCAACTCCAGGTGTAGCGATCAAACAGACTTCTTCAGGGTCTCACAGGAAATTACCTCTCTCCACAACCCAATTCTCACCTGCGATTCCACAGATATTTCTCTGGGTGATTTTATTTTTATGGTCCCTTACAAGACTTCCATTGTGCTAATGTCTCTTTAAGAGAAATCTCAATAAAGTGAATTTCCAGGGGAAATCTCTCTGGAAAACAAGTCCCCAAATGAGCTCTATGTACTCAGAGCTCTGAAACAAGCCCAAAGAAGCAATCTTCATTTTCGGTAGGAGGGCACGTGGCTGATTGTGCGTTTACAAATGAACCTATTGTCATTTTTTTATCAGCTGAAGAAAACCATCTCCTTTGCCTTTTGCCAGCTGCTTCCCTGCAAACCACTGCTGAGCCAGCAATTACTGTAACAGCACAGAGCCAAGTCACAGAGTGGGGGGACCGGGCAATTACCCTGATTTGTCATCACAAAGGGTTGGCTATAAAAGCTGCTTGCAAGACACAGAAATTAAGCAGCTTGGCACCACGCCAGGGTCTTGTGCAGACTAGCAATCAGAAAAGAAAAAGACACCAATGTCAGCACAGAGAGCAGGTAGATTGGACAGCAGGAACCAAGGTTGTTAGGGGGAAATAGAATAGTTCCTTCCGGCCACATAGGCAAGTGTGATCCAAAATACATTCTTCATCTTCAATTAGCTTTTCTCTGCAAATGAAGATGGTTTGAGGCCATCCGGATGCAAGATTAAATAATAAAAATTTAAATGAAGATTTTCTTTCTTTTGCTAAGATCTGTCTATGGGTCTTTTTGCACGTGGCGATAACATTTGCAGATGCTTAGTGATTTGAACCCTTCCCTGCTTCCTTAGGGATTTATTTGTTCCCCTGTTATATGCATTGGGAAATAGCAGCGAACTAACTACACGCTGCAGTCAAGTTAGTAAGAATTCCCTGGAGAAGAATAAAAGAGATAACAGAAAAAATAAGTAAAATATATTTTTGAATGTAAAATCTCAAGGGAGATGAAAATCATCAAATAGGGAAGGGAAGATAAGACGATTGTGTGTATCGGGTGTTGTACAGATCGATAAAAATAATTGACCTCGGTCAGAAAAGATGCAAGTGCTCTGGGTCCACATACACAGGGCAAAGAACTCATTTAAGGCTGTTTCCTTGTTGATGTTTCGTTCTATGAATCTGTGCATTGATAAAAATAGGGCGTTAATATTTCTCACTGTGTGTTGCTTCCTGTGTATATTTCCTTGTCTACTAGTAGCTGCTTCATAAACTTTGCTTCTTAATTTGATGTAAATACATTAAAAAGATTCAAATCATCTTAATATGTAGATCCTTGAACCAGCAGTTAATGCCATTCCTATCCCTTACCACTCTCTTAAACTTTAATATTATCGGGTCAGATACAAGTTTGCCTATGCCAACTCCTATTAGCGTACCACTAGCTTGCATGATTTTTTTCCTCAGATGTTCACTGAGCCTGTGTTTATCATTACAGAATGTATGTGTATATATACATATATGTTATAAAACAACCTTGGCACCAGATAAAATCAGCATTAAAAAGTAAATTCTAATTGTTTCAACTGAACGGTTGCTTCCTGTTGGCTACTAGGCTGGCATTGACTGTGCAGGGAGGAGAAAATTGTTTGGACACTTGTTAATTCACGTTTCTATAGGAGGCATTTTGTAGCAATTGTAGCATGGTTAAATATTAAATTTAACTTGACTCATTTCTGTCTAATGGTGACCTGCTAGTCATAAAATATCTCATACAAAGCGGGGGAATGCAGAATGTTAAAAAAAATTTAAAAAAACAATACAATCAAAGTAAGATATGTAATGAATGGGTTGAAGCCATAGCCCAGCGGTAGGGCATTTGTCTTGCATGCAGTCAACCTGGGTGACCCGGGTTCGATTCCTCTGCTCCTCTCGGAGAGCCCGGCAAGCTACCGAGAGTATCCCACCCGCTCGGCAGAGCCTTGCAAGCTCCCTGTGGCATATTCGATATGCCAAAAACAGTAACAAGTCTCACAATGGAGACATTACTGGGCCTGCTCAAGCAAATTGATGAATAATGGGAGGACAGTGCTACAGTGCTAATTTTAGATATGCCTACTACACAGGTTTTCATTAGATAACCAAAATGGCATAGGGATAAATATCAGAATGTAATATTTATTTGATAAAAATGTATGCATTTTATCTGCAATAAACTTTCAAATGATTAAAAGAAAAATGACTTATCTCTCAAATTTCCTGAAAAGTCTTAGAAATTGAAAATTGATATACTATATAGCACAGCAGGTAGGGCGTCTGCCTTGCACGCAGTCAACATGGCCGACCCGAGTTCGATTCCTCCACCCCTCTCGGAGAGCCCGGCAAGCTACCGAGAGTATTCGATATGCCAGACACAGTAACAACAAAGTCTCCAATGGAGACGTTACTGGGCCCGCTCGAGCAAATCGACGATCAACGGGAGGGCCTTTACCTTATACTATATTTTAAAAGGAGATACAGTAAGCCACATGAGTATTAAATAAGTTACTTCTCTTTAACTTATCTTCTTTATCTACTTAAATTTCAGAGTCTAGGCACACAGCCCTATTTACCAAAATTTCATTAATAGGGCGCTCAATGAGCTGAGTCATTGAGTTTTCTTACTAAAAAGATATAGAGATGTTAGAGCGTGAGAGAAATCACTGGATCTAAGTTTAATTACATCAGCACTGGATGAATGGAAATGTCACTTGCTAGTAGCAAGTTTTGCATCCCAAGAAGCTCGGGGTCTGGGTGAGCTCCATGCCCGAGGTGCAGTGCCTGAGACGGGGTGTTTCTTGGACACTCCACAGTTATTTAGGACCAATTCAACTACGTTTGGTGGTATCCAAGGTGTTTTCATTACTGGGAATCGAACTGGGGACCTCTGAACTGTCTCCTAGATGCAAAACATAGATCCTTAAAGTAAGTTCCCATTCTGGGCCGCAGAGACCCTAGGGCAGGTAAGGCGCTTGCCTTGTATGTGACCTACTCAGGTTGAATCCCCCGAGCACCGCTGGGTGTGGCCCAAACACCCACACAAAGCAAAAGAAAAGAATGGCGAAACTCAGGTTCATTTAATGATGGGAAATCCAGTTAAGGATTTGGGGCAGCAATTTGCTTGCTAATTTTATGGGAATGAAAACAGTACATAAGATATGAAAAATTTCCATGAGACATCTGAAATGAGATTCTTCGACAATCCATTCTATTCACCCTTTTTAAACTTTGTGTTGTTCGCAGATAGTCTACATGGGCTGGTGCGAGAGCCGGGAGCAAGATTCCCTTCAGGATCGGCTATATTCACCCACGTTTCTAGCCCTGAGGGGCTCCTGCCTTTACAAATTCTTAGCACCTCCAGTAAGTACTTCTGTTGGACATTTTGAAATGCTTTCTCCATGTTGTAACGCCACAGTTACATCAGCCTGTACGAATAATAGCATAGAGCCCAGTGAGCAGGACTCATGCCTTGCTCGCCACTGCCCTGGGTTGGATCCCCACACTCCATATGGAATCCCAGTCATCCCTGAGCACTAGGAGTCAGCCCTGAGCACAGTTTGAGTGTGCCTCCTCCCAGAACATTAGCAATGCATATTTAAATATGACGTAGACATGATGGAATGTCCAAGTGTTTTTAACACATTATATTAAATTTAAATTGTCAAGGCAAGAGCAAAGTAAAGAAAATCTTGAATTCTTACTGTAGAAATGAGGTTCCCAGAGAGAGATGGAAAATCGGAGTAAAGGATGATGGAAGTTCAGCATACACTCCTGCTAAAGTCAACGCAGTGATATGAACAATGCAGCCTCGATTTTATGTTTTAAATAAAAACATTTAATTTATAATATATAAAAATATTGAAAGCATTTTTGTTTAGAATCTCATAACTACATATTTATATTTACAGCAAAAGTCTGTCAAATCAAATCAAAAGATGTTTTAATAACGTGGTATAGTTTTTTTCTAGTTGTTGGACTATAATATCTATGTACATTCCCATTAGACCCAAGATCTTGCCTTTTGAAATATGCACTTTATTTAACGCTGGTTTTTCAATGAAAGTTCACTGAAAGCAAGCAGCGAAGTCAGGCAATCTGCCAGTAGTTATAATAATACGAAGGTCTAGGAACTATGAAGTTCGACTAGCTGCTCTCCTGAATGTCTGTATCTGTATAAAATTTAAACCTGCAGATGACCTATGAAGCATTAACATTTATACATTCCACTATATTCCCACTCTGAGCATTTTGATAGGCTAGATCAATAGATGTTTCAAACAAATGTAAATAAAACAAGTGCATTATAGTGCTTGATATTCCTCAATGCCATAGGTGTTCTGATCTTGGAATGACTTCATGATATGAAGTGAATATTTTTAGAAATTAATGCTAGCATTGCTTTCTGGCTTTGTACTTTGTATATAACTACTTATAAACTGCAAAAATACAGGTATATTTATACTTAGTCCTTAAGTGTAAAGAATACATACATAATTGATAGAAAAAGTGTGCAAATGGAAATTGTTCCGTAAAATGCCAAACCTTTGTCAAAAGCAGAACAATGGAAATAAGACATCATAAACCTTTAACTAAACCTCAAGACCAAAAGAATATATAGTTCTTACACCAAAATTTCACTTACAGACAGATATGTAATTAAAGTAAAAAAAACAAATTAGGGAACATATTTATGAAATAAATAAAATAATATTTTTTATTGTTAAAGGTTACAACCTGGGACTGGACCCGAGCAGAGAAAACCTTTTCAGTTTATGAGATTATGTGCAAGATTCTCAAGGTATGAAAAATATGCAGTGATAATTTTCCATTTTTATCAAAAAAGTAGTTACAATCACTGGTTCTAGGTTTATGAGTAGCTTACAAAAGAAAATGATGTTTGAATATAAAGGAAGCCATAAGATAAAGAAAACTGTTATGTATGTATAATTCTACAAACATGCAGAGAAATTCATGAAAACCAATCTATTTGTAAATGTCTCAAAAAAGGTTCTACATGGAGCTGGAAATATGGTACAGCAAGTAAGGTGCTTGCCTTACATATGTCCAAACCAGGTTCAATTTTCAGCATTTTGTATGGTTCCCAGCGCTTGCCAGGAATGATCCCGGAACACCAAACAAGGCATAATCCCTAAGCATCACCGGCTGTGTCAAAAGTTAAAGAAAAAAAAAAGGAAAAACATATATTTGTGTATGTAAAACTTAAAAAAGTTTCTACAGTACTTTAATTTGGGAATTGTAAGTGGGTTGAACTTGGTAGGAGTCCATTAAAGACGTGGGAGGAAGCTCAACTAGAAACAGTGAACACAAATTTCCTTTGTCATCATAGGGTGTTGTCTGTTTTTCAAAACAACCAAAGAGAAAGATTCAGTAGAAATTATAACTATGAAATTTATAAAATAATAGTCAGATGCTTAGATGTGCAACATAAGAATCTGTATATTAGACTATCTCTAAGTATGGAAAATACCATATTGTTTTATAAAATATTAGTCATTAGAAATTATATAACATTCCAAAATATTTCTGTAAAAAAATAAAAATTAAAAAATATTCCTATAGCCACTATTCAGAATGACATAGGAATGGCTTATAAAACCTAAATAACAATATAAATTCATTTCTCACTCAGCACTTGAAAACAATGTACATTTATAATCAAATCTTGATATATTCAAATTTTGATAATCTTTGTTTAACCAAAGATAATTGTGATTTCTGTAATTTATGCAAATTAATTACTTTCCATTTTTATTCTAGTGAGTCTAGTTAAAGACTCAGGGGGAAAAATGTTGGAATATTTATAATGTAATAAAATCTATCTAAAGTAGCTCAAGACAGACACAAAAGATCTATGATTATCTCTCCCTATTACACAGCGCAGTAATCCTAGATTAAAGCTAACATTTACTATCACGCAAGATTTAAGAACAAAGATTACTCACCACTGCATGCAGCTTGCATTCTATTACTTGCCTCGCTGTGAATAACAAATATGATATATTTGAACATGGTACTAGAAAAGAAGGGCTGGGTCACCTCATAGATGTTACAGTCATTAAAGACCATTCTCATCTTTGTTTAAAAGTAATTAGCAAGGTAGCTAATTGGCTTCCCAATTAAACTTTTTATCAAAGATTATAGAAAAGAAAGGACAAATGAAAGAATAAAAAGAACAAGAGAGGAGGAAGGAAAAAATGAAGAGAGGGAGGGAGGGAGGGAGGAAGGAAGGAAGGAAGGAAGGAAGGAAGGAAGGAAGGAAGGAAGGAGGGAGGGAGGGAGGGAGGGAGGGAGGGAGGGAGGGAAGGAAGGAAGGAAGGAAGGAAGGAAGGAAGGAAGGAGAAGGAGGGAGGGAGGAAGGAAGGAAGGAGGGAGGGAGGGAGGAAAGGAGGGAGAGAGGGAGGGAGGAAGGGAGGGAGGGAGAGAAGTTCAACTATCAGTAGTTTCATTTGATCAGTTTTGTCCATACATTAGTACATTATTTTCATCTTAGTGGCCAAGCTAGTATTTCTGTATTATTAAGATTTAAAATTTGTCCTAATGATTTTTCAAATAGCTACAATGATCTTTATGATTCCCTTTAAAAACAGGTATGCTAAGTCAGAAAGTGAAGTTTATCATGACACACTAAAAGGAAAATTTTAAAGAAGAGATAAAATTATTTGTCTACATATAAACAATATTTCACAGACAATTATCTACTAAATTAGGAGCATGTGGTTTGTAGTACACGATTTTACATAAAATTCATCTTGATTTATTTATATCCAAACATTTTTAAAGTACTATCGAATTTAAAAAGCTTCTATATTATCTTTTGACCATTTTTATTTAGCTAATTGTGGTATTTAGATATTTCCATGATTTTTTTAATTTTTTATATATATCATAGGAATATATATATATCTTTTTTTTTTATTGAATCACTGTGGGAAAGGTTACAAAGCTTTCAGGTTTATGTCTCAGTCATGCAAATATCAAACACATTTCCCTTTACCAATACTTATTTTTTACCATGAAGAACCCCAATAAACCCCCACCCCCCACCCCTCCCCGTCCCTGTGAGGCAGATGAATTCTAGTTAACACTCTATCTGCTTTGATTAGATTCATTGTTTCAATAAAAGATTCACCACTATTATTTAGAGTTTACCCCCCCCCCCAAATCAGACATGCTGAAAAAGCATTGTGAAGTGATTTGCTTTCTACAGCTGGGTTCAAGAATTAAATGTTGGTTTTGGATTTCTGCTCTTTTACCTATTGACCCTGGAAGTATTTCTACTGAAAGTCAGATAGTTAAGAAATTGGTTTCTGTGTTCTGGAGTCCTGGCCGTGCTGGAGAGCCGCTCGCGGGGGGCAACCGGTGGCCTCGGTAGGGCGTGAAGGGTGGAGCGAAACGCCCCCCTTCCCATGAGGTTTTAGTCGCCCCCACACTCCCGGCTCATACCTGCTGTCCACAAGGCTCCCATGTGGCCGCCATCTTTCTTTCCAGAGAGGAGAGGGCGAATGGGGCAACACCCTTTCCCCTCCGGCAGACTTGATGGCCTGGATCAATGCATAGTCCGTTCACTTTTCTGCTCCAAGCTGCTGGGTTCTGCATTAAGTCCTTGTGCTTCTGGGGCCGTGGCTGTGCTGGAGAGCCGCTCGTGGGGGGTGACTGGTGACCTCGGTAGGGCGTGAAGGACGGACCGGAACGCCCCCCGACCCATGAGGTTTTAGTCACCCCCACTCCCCCGGCTCATACCTGCTGTCCACAAGGCTCCCATGTGGCCGCCATCTTTCTTTCCAGAGAGGAGAGGGCGAATGGGGCAACACCCTTTCCCCTCCGGCAGACTTGATGGCCTGGATCAATGCATAGTCCGTTCACTTTTCTGCTCCAAGCTGCTGGGTTCTGCATTAAGTCCTTGTGCTTCTGGGGCCGTGGCTGTGCTGGAGAGCCGCTCGTGGGGGGTGACTGGTGACCTCGGTAGGGCGTGAAGGACGGACCGGAACGCCCCCCTTCCCATGAGGTTTTAGTCGCCCCCACACCCCTGGCTCATACCTGCTGTCCACAAGGCTCCCATGTGGCCGCCATCTTTCTTTCCAGAGGGAGGAGGGCGGAAGGGAGCAACACCCTTTCCCCTCTGGGCAGAAATGATTGCCTGGATTAACGCATAGTCCTTTCACTTTTCTGCTCCAAGCTGCTGGGTTCTGCATTAAGCCCTTGTGCTTCTGGGGCTGTGGCCGTGCTGGAGAGCTGCTCGTGGGGGGCAACTGGTGACCTCAGTAGGGCGTGAAGGACGGACCGGAACGCCCCCCTTCCCATGAGGTTTTAGTCGCCCCCACACTCCCGGCTCATACCTGCTGTCCACAAGGCTCCCATGTGGCCGCCATCTTTCTTTCCAGAGAGGAGAGGGCGAATGGGGCAACACCCTTTCCCCTCCGGCAGACTTGATGGCCTGGATCAATGCATAGTCCGTTCACTTTTCTGCTCCAAGCTGCTGGGTTCTGCATTAAGTCCTTGTGCTTCTGGGGCCGTGGCCGTGCTGGAGAGCCGCTCGTGGGGGGCAACTGGTGACCTCGGTAGGGCGTGAAGGACGGACCAGAACGCCCCCCTTCCCATGAGGTTTTAGTCGCCCCCACACCCCCGGCTCATACCTGCTGTCCACAAGGCTCCCATGCGGCCGCCATCCTTCTTTCCAGAGAAGAGAGGGCGAATGGGGCAACACCCTTTCCCCTCCGGCAGACTTGATGGCCTGGATTAACGCATAGTCCGTTCACTTTTCTGCTCCAAGCTGCTGGGTTCTGCATTAAGTCCTTGTGCTTCTGGGGCCGTGGCTGTGCTGGGGAGCCGCTCGTGGGGGGCAACTGGTGACCTCGGTAGGGCGTGAAGGACGGACCAGAACGCCCCTCTTCCCATGAGGTTTTAGTCGCCCCCACACCCCCGGCTCATACCTGCTGTCCACAAGGCTCCCATGTGGCCGCCATCTTTCTTTCCAGAGGGAGGAGGGCGGAAGGGAGCAACACCCTTTCCCCTCTGGGCAGAAATGATTGCCTGGATTAACGCATAGTCCTTTCACTTTTCTGCTCCAAGCTGCTGGGTTCTGCATTAAGCCCTTGTGCTTCTGGGGCTGTGGATATATCTTTTATATAACAGATTTCTTGTTGATATTTTCTATAAATAGGTAGTTTTCTTTCTACTACTTGCTAAATGAATGGGGGAAAAGACAGAAAAATCATTGCTCTTACTAAATTTGCCTTTCTTAGGGCTAATATAGAGAGTAATTAGAAAGATTAAGTAAAATGAAAGACTATAATTCAGAACTAAATTTTGCCACATCTCAGTAACATCCTTTAATATAAATTCTGATATGGAAATCTTGGGTGTGAAGTATTTAAATGTGCTCAAAATGTCATATTTACATGTTCAGATTGAATGTAAATAAAATCGTACCAGTTAATACAGTTACACAGATCTGAGAGAACTCATATATTTAAACATTACCTAAATCATAATCAGAAAGTCTTCTTTTTTTGTACATTAAGAAATCTTTCTGTAAATCTATCTGCTGCTTTGGGTGATTTTCAGATGTTTTTTAAACATGGAGATAAATATTTCAGATACAGACTAAAATATTAATCTAGTCTTGGTTGTTAAATGAAATAAAAGTTTCTGGCAAATGATTCCTTAGTATTCTATGTATTATTCAAAACTATATAAAACATGTTATTTGACAATATTGACGGTTTGATTCATTCTTTTCCACGTTGAATACCTTTGATTAATTTTTCTTGCATAATT